AAGAAAAACAACCCTTATTATTTTTAGCTACAGTTTGTTTTCTGTTCCTTACAACCTAATTCATTGTTCACTGATACTGCCTTCCTGCTTCTAGCCTCACCTCATTCACTCAAAACCTCTTGTCATCAAAGTGATTCCAACTCAACTCTACTTTCTCTATAAGGGTGGGAGAAAGGAAGACTGGAAAAGAACATTAGATAAACATCAATGACAGAAATGAAAGACAGCTGACCTGACAGGTGACAAAAAGTGTTGAAAACCAGAAAATTATAAAGAGCATTCAAAAGAAAAAAAATGTAAAACAATAACTTAGGTCCATTTGATAAGTTGTTTTAAAAAAAGTCTTACACATGCCCATAATTAATTAGGGAGTCACCATAAGTATCATAATACAGTATAGTAATAGATCTTCTCAAAAAAAACACTCAGGATTTAGTCTAGATTGGATACAGTGGTGAGCCAAGCATGCAAGACTTCCCCTCTTAGGGAGCTTAGAGTTGGACTGGGAAGAAAATACATTAACAAAATTACACAAGTAAATAATTAAAATATTTACTATGAATTATCTAAGAAAAGAATGAATTTTATAAAGGGAACATGGCCTAATCAATGTGAAGTGGTGTGGGAGACTCAAAGAAGTGAACTTTGAACTAAGATACAAGCAAAACCTATTTTGCCAAGGAAATGAAGGGAGCAGAAGGTAAGAATAAAGCAAAGCTTATGGGGAGGGCCCAGTCCCTGAGAAAAGGGTATGGATACTGATCTTGAGGAAGCCAAAGAAGGTCATGGTAGCCTGTGTGTGGTTATTTGTTCCAACTCATCAAGAAAAGGTCAAATTCTGGGATCTCAAAAGCTTGCAAGCAGCCATCTAGATGCAACGATGGACCTCTCCTCGTCCAGAGAAAAGAAGAATGAAGAAAACCAAAGATTCATGGAAACAATTAGTCCAAATGACACATACACCATGCGATCCTCAGCCTATATAACTATGAGACCAAAAGAACTAGAGGGTGCCTGGCTACTACCACTGTCAACCACATGGAAGGGGATTTATGTAGGAGATCCTGGATAGAGAGGGAGAACAATGTGGAACAAAACTCTAAATCATTTGAAGGAAAAAATAAATAAAAATAAATAAAAAAAGAGTGTGCTGGTCTGATAGAGCCTGATGGAACCACTGGGACTATGGCCCCTAGCTTCCCTTCAGGTCTGGAATTGAACCCACTCCTGTGGCTTCCAGTCAAACAAAAGACAGGCATGTGAGCTGAACATTTACATTAAGTAGATAAACTCCTTGGAGAGAACAATCACAGGAGAATAGAATGGTTGTGTATGCACAGGGAGACAGCTCAGGGGACAGGAGTGCATGAAGGGAAAGACACAGGGAAGAGGTAACTATGGGGAGAAAGTGGGAGGGAGCTGTTGCATTGTGGGAAATTGTAGTCAATGCCATGAGACAAAGTGTATGTGAGTTGCTGTATGTAAAGTGAATTTGCTCTGTAAACTTTCACCCAAATCATAATTTTTTTAAAAAAACCTGTTATCTAAAAGAAAAGGTCAAATTATATTCACTATATTCTGCTTAAGAAGAAATCTATGTATGTAATTTATTTTTGGAGGATTTCCATTTGTAAAAAAATAAAATAGAAATGTTTATAGCTAAAAATAATAAGTATAGTTGTTGCATTAAATCATTTTTGATCATTTAAGAGTTAAAATTATACATTGTAAAATATTTATTAAGTACCAGGCCCTATATTGAGTTCTGAGGATATATATATAGGAGTAGGTTATATGCAGTGCCCTTAGGGAGCTAAAACAAATAATAGAGAAATGAGTAGACAAACAATTACAATTACGTATAATGAGTGCTTTGATAGAGGTATGTTCCAAAGCTGTGGGAACACCAAGAAGACAATGATTAATTCACTCAGGGGTGGTATTATTTTTAAAATTAATCTATGTTCAGTACATCATTACCAAATGATGCCAAATAAATGAACTATGAATGAATTTAAGCATGAAACAAACCAGAAAATCTAAACTCTGACAGATCTCGAAAGTAATGAAATTGTTTAATGGACTTTGAAGTACACAAGCCTACCTCAAAAACAATTCTGAGAATTAGACCACCCTTGCTAGGCTTGGCCAATCATTCAAGTAACTATATTGGAGAATAATTGAATTTCAGAAAATGTACTTGAGACCAAAAGAATTAAAGGAAACACTGAATTAGACCTGACTGTACAAAGCAGGTTCAAATAGAAAGGTAGTGAAAACCAACATAAGTTTACTTTCTTCTCTTGTTGATATCGAAATAAAAGACTTGTGCTTAAAAAGATGTGATGGTAAGAGCCAAAATAAGCCTTTTGATTATAAGATTTTATAAGATTCTCCAACAAGATCTAGAGACCTGGGTCTTTGCATTAGCTCTGCCAATGATCAGCAGTGTGTAGATGAGCCATGTGATTTTTCTGAGCCTCAGTCTCCTTATTATGAAAGAGGATAATTTCACAGGTAGCATCTTATGATTCTAAAACAAACAATCTAGCAAATCATAGACCACAATATTATTTTTACTAATTTCAATATTGGCTAATGGTAATAGTAGAAAATCAGGAAAAAATAAAGCCATTTTGCCAGTAATTCGTGAAGCCAGGCAAATTATATCAAATTTTGCAAACAACACTTTCAGTTTCTCAAAGATAATTTGGCATATACATAGTACTCAATAATTATGAAGCTACATAAAGCCAAAAAGTCATTCTAGAGTCTAGTGAAGATTCCATTGTCTCATTAACTAAGAAACACACTCTTCCCTCTGATAGATTCCTTTTGATGAGATCTTTGTCCTCCTCTTGGATAAAGAAAACAAAGAAAAGCATACATCACCAAAATATAATGCTAACTATCATTGTACACTGGGAGCTCTGGTGGCATAGTGCCTAAGGCACTTGATTGCTAACCAGAAGGCTGACGGTTCAAACCCACCAGCCACCCCTGGGAAGGAAGATTGGGCAATCTACTTCCCTAGTGATATCACCTTGGAAACCCAAGGAGGGGTCTCTTTGAGTCGGAGACGACTCAAGAGCATATAACTACAACAACAACAACATTACTATGAGCATGAAAGAGACTTGTGTGTATTATTTCTATTCCAGAATATAATCACTGCCCATCCCAATTTTACTTAAGTGTTTGATAAAGTTGCATAAAGTGAGTAAGGAGTTACAATATGTGTGCCAGACAGGAGTTTGATAACTAAAAAAAAAAAAAAAAAAGGAGGAATATCGTTTTGTCACTAGATCCAAAAAATGACACAGTAATTATATGCTGTGCTACATAATAATTCTAAGTGTAATTGCAGTATAATTTTTCTGACATGTATTTACTATCCATCTACACCATAATTATTATGCATGGATTATGTTGCCTTGTTTTTCAAGTTCTTCACTATTTCCTTGAGGTACAGACTTTTCAAATATGTGGATTCCTTTTTAAATGAATGGTACCTATAATATCTATTTCATCACAAGCTCTCAACATAAAATAATAATAGCAACAATATTAATATTTACACAAATATCTGATGTTCTAGAAAATCAACCGTGTATTTCTTAATTCATTTTATAAAAGAATGTCGAAAAAAATACCTTTTTTGTAAATTTTCTGCAATAGAAAGAACATGGCCCAGTCCAGGTTTGAGTGGGATTGTAGACTTAAAGCAGTGTAATTTGAATTAAGTTCCAAAGATAAACCTGATCTTTCCTATTTTTTCCTGTGTTATCTTTTCTATTTTCAGTAAGAGGATCCACATCAAACATGATGCAAGGAGTCCTGACAAATGTAAGTGAGGATGCCTTATGCAATTTGATGCATAAGATGGAATGTCTCTACATCTTGTTGGAGAATCTTATAAAATTCCATAATTTGAAATGAGATGGAATGTCCACACCACACATGCTTTAGAGGTGTACAGTCCAGGTTCTTTGGAACACAAGTAGCCTTAGTCAACAATAGCAGGTGTAGGTAAGCTTCCTTTTCTTCCTACCTAGAGGCCATTGTCATAGAGTGTCACATTAGTGACATGATATAAGCAAATGTTACATTCTTCGACAAACAAAAACCAAGATTATAACATACAGAAATACGTATTAAACAAAAAGATGAAAAAAATAGATGAATGATGTAAAGCTTCATTCTATTCATTGAGAACATTAATACATTAGCTATTGTCTTTGAAAAACAAATATTTTTTGGGCTCTGCTGATGACATTGAATTCTGTACCTAATCTTAGTTTTAGGGTTAGGATAATCACTTTTGACTTAACACCTCGATGAAACTACTTGACAATAAAGTTGGCATTTTAAGCTTATGAGCTTTCTGTACAACTATATTTCTATATTATATGTTATGTACTTTCTATTTATAAATTTTTGTTTTCCACAGAGCAAATATTAATATGGAAACATGAAAGAAACAATGAAATCGTAACTTCCAGTTAATGATGTCTAACTATCATTCTGCTATGGGATATTGCATGGGGCATCCCGAATAGAGTTCATTTTGTAGTAATATGGCAACATAATTATATTTGTATGTATAGCAACTGCAAAAAATTTTAATGTAAGATGTATATTATGATAATATTTTCAATTTTAAGACTGGTTTTAGGCCAGTTAAACCCTTAAAGGAGCAATTCTTCCTAGTTAATATTACTATTTTCGTATGGGAAAGCACAATTCTGCAATTATTTTTATGAGAAGCAAACAAAACAATGACTTTACTTTTAGATCAAAATTATATTCTCCTAGAACAAATGACATGCTAAAAACAATATACGTATGTAGAACAGATTGACATTAGAGAAAATGTTGGACTTTCAGGTTTTAAATGAATTTTTAGTTGCCTCCTCTTCCCCTTCCCTCCAAAATTGTGCAGGCATCTTTTAGAAAGCTCAGTCTTTCTCAGAGGTAGTTGGAGGAAATAGGGTACTTACTAATTGCAGAGTCGTAAGAGGTGGAATTGTGCTCGCCTCTCATGAAGGGGTATGGTGACAGATAAGCATGTGTGCAGTTCTTGGATGGTGGCTGATTGGCTAAAAAGGACAGCAGAACAAGGGAATTTATTACTGAGAAGTTGAACTACAAATTGTTACTAATAGAGCAAAAATACTGAACTAGGAGTCCATAAGCAAAGTAAAACTACAAGTCAGATCAACAGATTCAGAGATTTATAGGGTACAGTAAGAACTCCAAAGAACTTGTATTGGGAGCCATAGGGGTCCTGGCAGGTGACACTCCAGAGAATCTAGCTACACAAGAATTTAAGTAAATAGGCTTAATGCCCTCAATATCACTTTACAATTGAAAGCAACACATTTCCATAAACATATTCTCTAGTATTTAGCATAATGCCTATCACTTATTAGATATTCAATAAATACTTGTTTTAGAAAATCGGGAGCTCTGGTAGTGTAGTGCCTGAGGCGTTTGACTGCTAACCAGAAGGCAAAGGTTGGGCAATCTACTTCCCTAGTGATACCGCCTTGGAAACCCAAGGAGGGGTCGCTATGAGTCGGGTGCAACTCCACAGCACATAACAACAACAACAATAAACTTAGACTTAAGTTTGATTATTTCCAATCAATAGCAAAGTTCTGTATTTTAATTTTAGGGAAAAGATACAAATGATCCATTAGGCAAGCTGATAATTCATATACATTTTTAGCATTTGAAGAAACCACAAGAAAAGACTTTTACATCGTCTGCAAACTTAAGAATTTCATTGTGCATCTTTCAGGGAAAAGCCAAGATTCTTTCTTGTGGAATGCTACTTCTATGCCACTTCAAGCAAAAGGCAGAGTAAAATATACTTTTTTTGCTCTATATCCTTGGCAAAAAGTCTTCTTCTTTCACAGACTGGCTAACTGCCCTTTACCAAATTCTAAATAATTTCCATTGTCAGTGTGCATCTTGAACACAAGTTTATTCTCCTCTCCAAAATGCACTAGCAAAGATTCCTCTCAAATATGCTATCTCATCCCTACCTTTGTTCCCCTACAGATGACAACTTGCTGTCAACTTGCATAAGTCCTCAGTAAGCTCACACGCTTTTATTATATAACTTCTATAGTATTGACAACTATGTAAACACTTTACTTTGATTTATTTAGGGGTATTTGATGAAGCTATTGCTAATTTCAACCCTCAATAACCTTTAGGGTAATAAATAGTTCTTTTGTTTTTTGGTGCCATAAGATAAGGCTATTTTCAACAAATTGATTTTCAAAGATTAATACAATATAGGAAATGAAATTGAAAGGATGTGTTATTTTTACAAAAAGCTATTCTACAGAAAAGAACTTTAATGTTTCCATGAGAGAATGAAAACATCAAAAGTAATGAGTTGCTTGATATTGCCAACAAACTTGGTTAAAGCCCAAATAAAGCAAGCTTTCATCTCCCACTACTAGCAATTAAGTTCTATTATAAAATGTACTTAAAAAAATGAAGATATGACTATAATATAATAGATCTCTATTTTTAGATTTGAAATTTGAAATTTCAAAAGTTCATAGCCAAAAAAAAAATTCTCAACAAAGAAATAATAGACCTTGAAAAAATACTGTAGAAAATGTTTTGTTTGTAGTTAGTGTATTTTAAATGTAAGCATAGAAACCCCAGATAATTCAATTTTCTCATAAATAATCTAACTCCTATGTTATTCTGGAAGATGAAATAATTATTCCTATAAACAATTTTTACTTGAAGAAAAAGTATCTTCATGAAACTTTTGAAGACATCTTATTGAGATTCTACAATTAAGAATCTAATCCTATTTCAAAAGTGAAATGTACCAAATAAATTGTTCATGTTATTGTAAGGACAAGGGTGAAGATAAAGCGAAATTGCACTTACTGTACCAGAACTTCCAGATATTGGAATCATTCTCTTCCACAATTCCATTAAACCAACACCTCCAGAAGAAACCTTCATGGTGGAAAGTGACATTCTCTATCTGCACAGAATAAAATGAAGTAATTTGCCATCAGCACAAGAATATAATAAAAATTGTCATGTCCAGGAAATCTTTGAAGGAATGTATTTTATCCCAAATAATGAAGATCAGTAGCTTCATTTCTACTGTACATATCTTTTATGAAAAATTATACACTCCTCTACAATTCTGTCATTTCACGAGATATTTATACTTAAGTCTATCCTGATCACTATCAAGTACGTCAAGATATTGAAGAAAAAACTTACATTCTGTTCTCCTGAACATTTCCCCACTTCAGTGGCAAGTAACCAATAATCTGATCCAAAAGCCACCAAAAAGAGTAAAACCCCCAAAGCACCAAAGAGAGCCCCAAAGAAGATGGCGATATTTAGTCTCATTTTCAATTCACTGGATCGATTTAAATAAAATATAAAAAGAAAATGAAGTAAAAAAATTGGCAGAGAGCTAGCTCTCAACAACAAGAAAAAATAATAACAATAAAAAAGAATCAAGATTTGAGTGGACAGAATTTTCTTGAGAAACGTCTCCTAGCTCATGTTTTGGTGGCTTCTCCCTCACACCCAGTGATGGATTTGTATGCACTTTGCTCTCTGCTGGAGGGGCTCCAGCCTAGCAGCTGAGAATTGCTAGCTATTTTAAGACACTGATTGAGGAGCTGTCTCTCTCCCCTGGGGATCAAAAAATAGCTGACCTTCCCCTGACTATAGGGAGGACTCTCAGGAGCTGGCTAGGATTATCATCATTGCTGTCGGATAACCCGTAGAATTGCAAAGAAGACGAAATGGCTATGAAGTCATTGGCAGTATTGGCCCCAAATTTTAAGTGTCTGGACAAGCACCACTTAGTTTAAGATGAGCACTGCAAGCTAAATAAGACACTTAAGACTCTCTTTGAAGATACATAAATCACAGTTAGAAAGAACTCCAAATACTTCTCTTGAATACAGTTGAAGTTGTAATTAATTTATTAATTCCTTTGGGACATTTTGGCATACAAAGTAATTTGAGGGTCAAATGATCTAGCATAATACTGAGTACGGTCCTGATTTATAATTTAGACATTCAGATATATACTTAAAAATCAAGAATATTCATGGTAGCATAAATTCTTTAAATCATTAAAAGTATTTTTAAGCACTAAACATTCTTAGACAGCATATACACTTATTTTATAGATATATATATAGATATATATATAATATATATGTATATATACATATAGTGCTTTAAGGGGCTCTGGTGGCATAGTGCCTAAGGCATTTGACTGATAACCAGAAGGTTGGCAGTTCAAACCTGCCAGCCACTCCACGGAAGTAAGACTAGGCACTCTACTTCTGTAAAAATTTACCATCTGGGAAACCCAAAGGGGGTTGCTATGAGTTGGAATCGACTCGATGGCAGTGAGTTTGGGATTTTTTTTTGTTGTTTTTATAAATGCTGCTTTGGGTGCAAATTTACAGAGAAAAATTTATTTTACATTCAACAGTGCCTGTACAGTTGATTTCACGCCCTGATTATCATCCCCAACCATAATAAACTCTCCTGCCTTCCCATCCCTATACCTATCCCCTTCGTGTGTCCTTCTTAACTATGCAATCCTGTCTGTCCAGCTTTCTCTCTGTGCGAATGCTGTCCCTCTGGTGCCCCATGGCCAATTGTTCTAAGAGCTTTACCTCCCTAGAGTATGTGAGTGCATTGCCTTGGGATACGTGATCTGCTTGAAGGTCTCTCTATTGTTGGGCTGAGAACCAGTGCATCGGAGTGATTCCAATTCTAGGCCCAAAGGGTAACCTGGGGCCATAGTCTTGGGGGTTCCACCAGATTTTATACTAGAAATTCTGGTCATTTTGGTGTTTTTGAATATAGCATAGACACTTATGATGTAAAAATAGCACTTTCTATAGATACTCACGAGTCTTTGGCAAATTATTTAGAAAATCATCCCTTTTGGAAAGTGGACTAATGAATAAAACCTTTATATATATATATATCTTAAATTAACATGAAAGAATCTGGTATACTCTTTATTTTGCTTTCTTCATTTTAAATATCCAACTTCCTAAAAATATGAATCATATTTAATAGCCATACATCTAACAGCAAAAAAAATCTACACTTTCTTCATGCCATGTGTCTTTTTAGTTCATTTGTTTGTTTTGTCTTCATATCTGAATATTCCAAAAAGGTTATTTTTTAAGAACTTATGTGATATTTAAAACTTATACTGTCCCTTTGGTCACTGTTCTTTATATTATCAATAATAACATGGGCCACTTCATTTTTAAGGAAGCTTCTGAACTCTACTGTTGTTGTTATGTGCCATCAAGTCAGACCCAACTCATAGACTCCTTAAATTGCTTATTTTGTTTAGCATGAGACAGACAGATCCTTAGAATGGACTTGCAGAAGGCAAAAAGTTGACTCTTTAGTAAGAATGGAGAATCTCTGGTGGTGTAATGATTAAGGCATTTGGCTGCTAACCAAACGATTAGTGCTTCAAACCCACCAGCTGCTCTGTGGAAGAAAGATGAGGCAGTATGCTTCCACAAAGATTTACAGCCTCAGAAACCCAGTGGAGGTCGCTATGAGTCAGAATAGACTTGATGGAAGTGATTTTGGTTTTTTTGGTTAGTAAGAATAAAGGTCCCTGGCCAACTACACTTACATGCAAATGGTGGTAACCAAAGATCATGTTGTTGTTGTCCTTAGGTGCCATCAAGTTGTCTCTGACTCATAGTGACCCTATTCACAGCAGAAAGATACACTGCCCAGTCTTGTGCCAGCCTTATGATACTTGCTATACCTGATCCCATCATTACAGCCATGTGTCTATCCATCTCGTTGAGGGCCTTCCCCCTCTTCGTTGACCCTCCACTTCACCAAGGATGATTTCCTTCTCTGGGGAATGGTTCTTTCTGACAACATGATCAAAGTAGGTGAGATGAAGTCTGACCATTCTTGCTTCCGAGGAGCATTCCAGCTGCACTTCTTCCAGGATAGATTTATTAGTCCTTTTAGCAGACCATGATACTCTTAGCATTCTTCTCCAACACCACTACTCAAAAGCATCAACTCTTCTTCAGTCTTCCTTATTCACTATCCAGTTCTCACATGTATAAGAGGCGATTGAAAATACCATGGCTTGGGTTAGGCACACCTTAGTTTTCAAGGAGACATCTTTGCTCTTCAGCACTTGAAAGAGGTCTTTTGCAACAGATTTGCCCAATGCAATACATCATCCTATTGATGTCTTGACTGCTGCTTCCGTTAGTGTTGATTGTAATATGAAATCCTTAACAACTTCAATTTTTCTCCATCCACTGTGAAGCTGTTTATTGGACCAGTTGTGAGAATTTTTGTTTTCTTTATATTGAGATGTAATCCATACTGCAGACTGTGGTCTTCAATCTTCATCAGTAAGTGCTTCAAGTCACCCTCACTTTCAGCAAGCAAAGTTGTGTCATCAGTGTATCACAGGTTGTTAATGAGCCTTCCTCCAATCCTGATGGCACATTCTTCTTCATACAGTACAGCTTCTCAGATTATTTGCTCAGCATATGGATTGAATAAGTTTGGTGAAAGGATACAACCCTGACACACTCCCTTCTTGATTTTAATCCATGCAGTGTCCCCTTGTTCTGTTTGAACAATAGCCTCTTGGTCTATGTGTAGGTTCCTCAGAAGTGCAATTAAGTGTTCTTAAGATTGGAATTCCCATTCTTCTCAATGATATCCACAATTTGGTAATATCCACACAATCAAATGCCTTTGCATTGTCAATAAAACACAAGTAAACATCTTTCTAGTATTCTTTGCTTTGAGCCATTTGACATCAGCAATTATATCCTTCTCTCCATATCTCCTTCTGAATCCAGCTTACATTTCTGGAAGTTCTCTGTCAATATACTGCTCTAACTGTTTTTGAATTGTCTTCAGGAAGATTTTACTTGCATGTCATATCAATAATATTGTTAAGTAATTTCCAAATTCTGTGGGATCACCCTTCTTTGGAATGAGTACAAATATAGATCTTTTCCAATCAGTTTACCAGGTAGCTGTCTTCCAAATCCCTTGGCATAACCAAGTGAGTGCCTCCAGCAGGGCATCCGTTTGTTGAAACATCTCAATTGATACCATTGGTTCTTGATCATATGCCAACTCCTGAAATGGATGAACATCAACCAATTCTTTTTGATACAGTGATTCTGTGTATTCCTTCCATCTTCTTTCTATGTTTCCTACCTCATTCAATATTTTGCCCATAGACTCTTTCAATATTGCAACTCAAGGCTTGCATTTTTTCCTCAGTTATTTCAGCTTCAGAAGTTCTGAGTGTGTTCTTCCCAAAGGTCATGAATAGAATTAAATCATTGACATAGAGGGTTAAAATAAATTTGAGAGTGCATATGAGCTGACCCTTCAACAAGAAAAAAAAAAAATAATAATAAAGAATCAAGATTTGAGTAGACAGAATCTCATTTATAAGACTCCCCACTGTGTCAAGTCATGTCAATAATGACCACATGGCTCTGCCTTACATCTGCCAAAAGGTGCTTCCTAGGAGTGTCCAAATATTAAATCTAGCTCTGTCCTCTGAGATTACCCAGTACAAGTTTAAATCCTCTGTCATCTGATAGAACTCTCAAATATTTTAAAGACAGCAATAATCTCATGCCTCCTGAAACCTCAACCCCCACCCCACATGCATAAATATAGGTCTTCATTTTCCTGTACTCAATATGCTGTACCTTCAACAATCCTTAGATTGGCCCAGCTTTAAGCCTGCTTTCTGTTCTGGTTCTTTGTTACAATTTTCCAAGTACTCTTTTCAAGTGAAATCTAATAAAAAAATATTCTGGCTGTCAGCTAACCACTTAGTTATTTGGATGCTGTGATAGACAAAATAATGACCTTCCGAAGATGTCTACATACTAATCTGTGGAAGCTGTGAATATATTACCTTCCATGGCAAAAGAGACTTTGCAGGTGTGATTAAATTAAAGATCTATAGATGGGGAGAGTCTTAGGTTATCATGGTGGGTATAACCTAATCACATGTGTCCTTAAAAGAAAAACAAAGGAGCTTTACTGGTTATGCTCAGTAAAAGAAATGTGGCTGTGCAAAAAGGGTCAGAGAATGGCTGGTTCTGAATAGAGAGAAAGGAGGAGACCACTAGCCAAGTCATGTGGGTAACCTCTGTTGTTGTGTTATTAGGTGCCCTCGTGTCACCCCTGATTCATAGGTACCCTATGTACAACAAAATGAAACAATACTCCATCCTGCTCCATCCTCATAATCATCGACATGTTTGAGCCCATTGTTGCAGCCACCATGTCGATTCATCTTATTGAGGTCCCTCCTCTTTTTCACTGACTCTCTCCCTACCAAGCATGCCACTCTTCTCTAGGGACTGGTCTCTCCTGATAATGTATCCAAATTATGTGAGATGAAGTCTTGCCATCTTTGCTTCCAAGGAGTACTTCTTCCAAGACAGAACTTTTCATTCTTCTGGAAGTCCACAGTATATTCAATATTCTTTGCAGCCTCTAGAAACTGGGAAAA